GTGATTCGGAGATGTGTGGACGCTTCACAGTCGTTCATCTTACAGACACTCAATGGGAACAGCTTGAGGTATGTACCACAGTAGCTATGTGATTTCTATCCATATTCACTGGCCATGCGACACCCTACTCGGACGCAATGTAGTCGTCTGACCTTCACGCTTCAGGTAAATGAAGCAACTGACGAGAAGTTGAAGGAGCTAAGGTACGCGTGTAATATTCTTGCTCCTTTCAGCTCATCCAATTGAAGGAATTCCAACAGAATCGCAGTGTACGTTTCACCCTATGAACATCTAATGCGAACCTCTTCTTTAGACTTTTCTTTCTCTCACATGCATTTTATGACTGTATCGCCCAAGTCCTTAGCATATGGACGACTCTCTGACCGTCCTCGCAATCGCCGCATCTGCCCTGTTTGACCTGCAGATCGCCACGGATAAATTCTCACATTTCCCGTCCAGTGGGTCAGATGCTCTCCCGCGCACGCCAACGTATTAAATGGACTTGAGTATGGCGTCGAGAAAAGCCGACGGCCCAACGTGCCTTCATACTGATATTCGCCAGCCGATGTCTGTGAGTGACGTTGACGTTGGCAGGACGTGCCTTCAGACAGATCGCGTTGATCCCGTGGCCGTACGTGCGCGTTCCGCCATCAGTTTCTGGGGAACCTGGTCCCGACAGCTTCGTAATGTTAATCTCTTCATCGACTGTCCCGTATTTGTGTTCTACGAGGATTCTGGTCGTGCGACCAAATAATGAGGAGGTATAAATGCGCTCAAGACGAGACCCGTCTCTCCAGCTAACAGCTCTACACTTTTCTGCCCCATCCAACAGCATCCTCAATGAATCTCTTCACTTTTTCCTCGCTCGCGGTGCTCGCTGCAGTATGTCGAAACCACCATGAATTTTGCCCAGCTCATCCTTCTGAATTTTGCAGATCGCTAACACTGTCGTCGCTGGCACTCCCACTCTCGCGACCCGTACGGTTAGCAATAGCAGTTGGACCGCTCAAGGCTGCTTCTTGTATGCAGCCCTCTTTTTACTATGGCCACCATCTCACGTTGTCTCTGCTTCTCAGAGATAATCCCTCGGCGCGTATCCTCGCCGAGAGCGAGACCGTCCAGGGATCGCTCACCGTCGAGAGCTGCCTGGCGTTCTGCGCCCAGGGGAATTATAGCCTCGCAGGCGTCGAGTTCAGCGAACAGTGCTGTACGTAACCCTCACCGTCCTTTACCTCATTCGTTCGACGCGCTGACGTCCATCGAAGTGTGCGCTAACGTGACTTCGGCCACCCTCACTCCCGAGCCCGCTGAGAACTGCAGCCTCCCCTGCGCAGGCAACGCCTCCGAGACCTGTGGCGGCCCCGATCGGCTCTTCCTTTACTCGAGCGGCGCGTTCAACGCGTCCGCACCGGGGCCTGGGTCACCTGTTGAGGTACAGAGCGTGGGCGAGTGGACGGCGCTCGGATGCTACAAGTGGGTCGCATCATCGCGTCTGAAGCGACGAGACGCTAACGACAGTGGCTGCCGACAGTGATTCATTGACCAACCATACACTTGGAGCCCAGGTGAATGTCACCAACACGACGGTCGAGTCATGCACTAGTGCGTGCTACGACGCTGGGTTCACGCTCGCAGGGCTCGAATTCGGGTCGGGGTGCTGTGCGTTGCTTTCCCCGCCTGTTTCCGTGGCTGCGATCGCTTGACTAACGGCTTGACAGTCTGTGACAACGAGTTCTTCAACTTTTCGGCGCCACAGGCGCCGAGCAACTGCGACATCTCGTGTGCCGGCAACAAGACCGAGCTCTGCGGCGGGCCGTCCTTCCTGACCGCGTACAACTACACCGGCAATTTCACTGCCGATACCCAACCCGTGCGTCCGCCCTACTATTCTGCCTCCGCGAAACACGTACGCTGACTGGCTTTTCACAATAGGCTGCGCGCATCAAGTTGCACAATGCCGGCTGGTACACGGCGTACGTCCGTATTGTCTACAATGGGACGACGAGCGACCGCCTCGGCGGCTCTATAACCGGTGGCCGTTCGCACACGGTGAATCTCACCGAGTTCGGCCTGCTCACTGAAGGCGAAGAGGTACGCTCTCCGCAGTCTATCATCCAACGCTTTGGGCTTCTGCTGACATGCTTCGATGGTGCAGTTCCAAGTGAAGTTGGACGTCGTGTCTGGCACAGACAAGACCTCGAACACGGTTATCACATACAGCTCGTCGAATCAGGACTGCACGGCTGACTTCAACAGCGGAGGTGGTGTCCAAAATGCTTGGATCGCTTTTGATGCATTTAGCGATTGTGACTGATGAGTGGGAGTGGGACTAGGCAGCCGCGTATGCACTGTCTTGAGTCGATTTTCGGTATCTCTTGACCTTTCTTCATCTGTTGTATGGTTTATTTCGGGAATACAATTATGATTTATGGGTGTTTCCTTCGCTGTGTTTCGTAAGTGGCCTTGGACATCTTCGACAGCTCGCATGATGGTGGCGATTTGACTATCGTACTCAGCAATTCATTGGCTACAGATGGAATTACCTCAACCCTCTCAGATCATAGGGCGCAGGATAAGAATGCCTCGTACCACACAAGACGGTCATTTGAAAGTTCGGCAGGAAGCACACCCGGTGATTGCCGCAGCGTCAGAGCCCGCGGCGCACCGACAGGAGCTGCCAACCTTCGCCCAAGCCCACGACGGAGAGTTCAAGGATCTAATGCGGCGAACGAACAGACAACTTTAAATCATAATTTTATTTCAAAAGTAAAATATACAACCGAGCAGAACGGTATTCACAAACTAAGATCCAGAAATCGTACATGCAGCCATCTACTCCGAGTTATTGGAGCACCCGCTGAACCCACCAAAGGCGACCCAAGGATTCTGGACCGTACCACTGCTATTTAAATCAGCTGTGCAATCCGGCACCGTCGAGCTGTACGTGAGGACCGTGTTCAAGGTCGTATTCTTGCCTGCGTTCATGTCCACCTTGACCCTGAACTGCACCATGCACCATGTGTCAACAATAGCCCAAAACCCGAATTGCAGCTCGAAAATGACGAAACGAAAGAGAGCGCCGAGAACGTACCTCTTCGCCTTCGGTGAGCAAGTGGGTTTTGGTGAGGTTCACCGTGCAAGAAGAACTACTGGAGACAGGCCCACAGAGCGGATTGCTCGTGGTTCCGTTGTAAACGATGCGGAGGTCCGCGTTGTATGCGCCAGTATTGTGCAGCTCGAGCTGTGCGACCTGTTCCAGAAAGCCAATCTGGGTACGCGTCTGATGGAGGGATAACACTGGGAGCACGCACGGGTGGCGAGACGGCAGAGAAGTTGCCGGTGTAGTTGTACACATTCAGGAAGGACGGGCCGCCGCAGAGCTCGGTCACATTCCCACCACATGAGATGTTGCAGTTGCCCAAAGCGACGGGCGCTGCAGAATTAGTAAATTCATTGTTGCAAACTATCAAGACGTCAGTCAAGTGATCGCACCCCCGAAAAATGGAGTAGGGGAAATGAGAACAACATACAGCAGCCTGACCCAGATTCAAGCCCTGCGAGCGTGAACCCAGCATTGTAGCACGCGCCGGTGCATGCCTCGACCGTCGTGTTGGTGACGTTGAGTTGGGCACCCAGTGTATGGTCAGTCAACGAATCACTGTCCTCAGTCATCGTCGTTAGCATCTCATTACTCCAGCCACGATGGAACGACGCACTTGTAGCACCCGAGCGCCTTCCAGTCGCCCACGCTCTGCACCTCAACGGGTTCGGAGGCGTTGACCTGACGCGTCGCGAGGGCGGGGTCACCAGCGCAGGCAGCGGTAACCACGGTCTGCAAAGTCATGACGAATGAGATCGAGAAAAATATTAAGCAATTTGAACATACGATACCAAGCACCACGAGCGAGAAGAAGGTGATGAAAAGCTTCATTGAGAATAATGTTGGCTGAGATTAGAGACTGAAGACTGAAGAGCTGTCAGCTGAAAAATGGTTGAATCTGAGAGAATTTATACTTCCGCATCTTTTAGAGGCCTCAGAGACCAGAATCCCGGAACAGAGAATGCAAGCATGAACATTACACAGATGTCGGGTCCAGGTTCCCCGGAATCTGACAGTGGAACATGCACGTACACGCGCGTGGCCCACGGGGTCAACGCAACCTGTCTGAAGGCACGTCCTTCCGATGTCGGCACCGGTGTAGACATCAACCGGCACGTACTGGAGTCCATTTAGTAGTGCGTCGGCATGCGCACACGGGCACCTCCCTGTAAGGTTCTCCAAGTCAAACAGGGGATGCGGCGATTGCGAGGGCGGTCAAATAGTGAGGACCCGGGCGATATAGCTCTATAATGCATGTGAGAAGAGATTGTGCCAGCGATTGATGTCGATGGGGTGAGATGTGGGCGGTTTATATGCCGGAATTTCTTCATTTGGTTGCAAAAACTTGAAGCATGGATTCTACACAACCTTCTTCTAGTCGGCTAAGGGCCTACTGACCTGGGATCAGGGGACCAGCTGATGTGGGCGGTAGGGTGGTTGATTTGTGGTTGATGAAACATATGTAGCCTGGAGATATAGTTTCATTAGGTACCTACGACTGTCTCTGTCGAGTAGGGCCCAGAAACGGTCTGTCGAGCGTTCGGCTCCAAGTGGTTTGCGGGCAAGCATGTAGCCTCGATAAGTCATCGTCAGGATTCAATCGTCTTCATGATTGATGGTGATAGCCTGAGTGACATGTATACGCACGGGTGACAGTACTAGTGTCATGCGCCTATAAGCGCGGAGGCAGCTCGGGATCCCAATTGACGTACCCCAGAATGCAACAACAGCGCCTTGCCAATGGAAGGTCAAAGAATGCCCGTGTCGTTTGTGGGTGACACAGGATCACCGGCGCGCGTGAATAGGTGAATAGGGCTTTTCTGAAATTCTTTTCTCTCCGCAATACTTGGAAGTAGCGGTTTTGACAGGGTATATGGCTTAGGAGAGGGCTTTAAATATGTCGGTTATGGTGTAACGGCTAACATCACCGCCTTTCACCTGATGAACGCGGTAGCTCGGGGTTCGATTCCCCGTAACCGAACAGAGATTGTGGATAGAGAAAGTTTTTAAATGACCCTCCTTTCAATTTCTATAGAGGGAGAAACACGAAAGAACGCGTACGGCTGTACAGATGTGACATGTACAGCTGAACACTGCAGAGACTTGATCCATCTTCACCAGAGTGTCTCGCCAACTTGCGCAATTAATGCAAACACAGGCTTGTTGCAATGATATAGACCCCTCTGCATACTTGAAATCCTTTCTATCTTAGTGCCCCATCCTTGAGTATTGTACAGCTTTTGGACGCTCACATTACATGATGTCACATTATGTGGACGACTTGCAGTAGTATCAGTCTCCAATTGGAATTTATGCCCTGATTCTACGGTCTCGTACTCTTCTACTTTGATGGATCCACGCACGACCGACCTCTACAACTTCGCTCGCGCTTTCTCAGTGTCCAGCTCAGCCTTGACCCGATCGCGCAGCTGCCGTCGCAGGATCTTGCCCGACGGGCTGAAGGCTTGACTCAGTATGATCAAACTGAGGAGTCTAAACGCGAACACATACCTTTTCGGTATCGAGTCAACAATAGCGACGCCTACCCGAAGAGTGAAGCACCAGAAATTATGAGAGGAAGGTACAGGATGAAGGCAGGAAAAACGCACCCCCACGCAGTCGCTTATACTGCGCCACGCGCTGTGCGAACCAGTCCTGGATCTCCTTCTCGAACGCCGCCGCCGATGCTTGTGGTTCAGACGGGACGATATACGCACTGCGTGGTGACAGTCACACTCAGTAAGCGGATACGCCCTGGGAGAGGTGCAGAGGGCAAGCACACCGGGGGAGCTCAGTCGCGAGCGCAGGCGCATCGATGCCGATCACGGCCACATCGACTACCTTAGGGTGCGTGAGGAGGAGCGCTTCCAGCTCGGCGGGCGCCACTGTCACCACAATTGCAAGCTGTCAGCATCAGCATTTGTGCGCCGGTGTCATGCGCACCTTGGAATCCCTGAAACAGTTCAGTGGGGTAACGAGGCGGGAGAAGAGAAGGAGGAGCGTACCTTGTACTTGATGAGCTCCTTCTGCCGGTCGACCGCGTACCAGTATCCCTCCTCGTCGCGCACCATGATGTCCCCCGACTTATACCACCCGTCGGTGGTCACCGAATTCCGCGTCGCCTCCGCATTGTTCAGATATCCCTACGACACACGACTATCAGCATCATCCCATTGGCCCAAACATACAAGAAGGCAGGCAGCAGCCCGAGAGGAACAAGAAAGCGCACCTTCATCAGCGTCGGGCCCTTGATCCACAACTCACCCCGCCCACTCATCCGCACGCCGGGCCCGCCCAACGGCTCCTCCCCATCGTCCCACTCCGGCGCGTCCGCATCCTGCTCCTGCGCGTCCGACGAGGGCAGCACGAGGCGCGCAGTGAGGTTGGGAAGGAGCACGCCGATGGATCCGGGCTTGCGCAGGGCGTCCTCGCGGCGCAGCTGGTGCGTGTGCGGGGACATCTCGGTCATGCCGAAGGCTGTTCATGTGCAGGTGAGGTGTGGGTGTATCAGCGCGCGTTGGTGAAAGGTAAGAAGGGAGGAAGAGAGGACGCACCTTGCGTGACGAGCACGTTCGCGCCCACGGACGCAAGCTTAGCGGCTGCGGCGTCGGTGAGCTGTTTGCCTGCCGGCGCCGCGCCGCACGAGATGTAATTGAGCGAGGTCATGTCGTACTGCTGCGTTGCTACGAAGTATCAACATCAAAGACGACGTACAGTTATGTCAGGGCGCTAGGGGCACGTACCAGGGTGATGTACGAGCGCGAGCAGCATCGGGGGCACAACGAGTGCGACGGAGATGCGATAACGCGCGACGTATTGGCAGAAGAGTGCCGTGTCCCAGCGCGGCATGACGATGGCCTGCGTGCCTGCGAGCAGGGGGTATTGCACCAGATTCAGGAGACCTGCGTAATATGCATTAGTTCTCCGAGGCCGAAAAGAAGGCGTGACAGCAAAGGCGGACCATAAGCGTGGTAGAAAGGCAAGACGGCAATGAGAACGTCCTTCTGCGGATCCAGTTTGGAGATACCGTAGAAGAGCATCGAGTTCAGGTAGACGATGTTCTTGTGCGTTAGCTTGATACGTTGATGCTCAGATGTATCGTTCACAAGGAGAAAGATAAGGAGCCCGCACCATGACACCTTTAGGTTTGCCCGTCGTCCCACTTGAGTAGCACAAGAACACCGTCTCATTCGCCCCAACCGGGCCCTCCCCGTCGAACCTCTCCTCCTCCCGCGCCTCACCCCGTCCCAGCAACTCCTCCATCCCCACAAACCCAATTCTCTCTACCCTGTCTACCCCCTCATATCGCATCACGACCACCCTTTTACGAGCCTCACCTTCCTCCACACCTACAATCTTGAACATCTGCAAAACCGCGCTGACGAGCTCAGGGTGCACAAACACCAGATACGCACGGCTGTCCCGGTACTGGTACGCGAGCTCCGCGGGCGTGTACGCCGGGTTCGCAGTCGACACGACCGCACCGGCCGCGATGAGCCCGAATAGCGCGATGGGCCACGCGAGGCTGTTCGGGCTGAGCACGAGCACCGTGTCCCCGCGTGCGAAGCGCAGGCGGGTGTCGTGTCGTAGACCATGGGCGAACTGGAGCGCGCGCCCGCGCAGGGCGGCGCGCGTGAGCGTCGTGCCGGAGGCCGCGTCGGTGAAGGCGGGCGACGAGGGCGGGTGCGCAGAGAAGGTGCTGCTGAGAAGGTGCGTGAAGACGCTGGTTATGGGCGGGGTCGTTGGTGGGTAGAGCGAGGGATAGGTGCGCATTGTTTCGGTTCGTGCTGCTGGGACGGGGGTAGCTGGGATTTATGTGTATCTAGGGCGATCGGAGCGGAGGGGG